GGCCGTGTCGAATGCAACACGGTCCGTGTCAATTCTCTGTTAAAAATCTGCACTTTAGACTTGGGCTGAACACGACCGAGTTTGAATCAACACGGCCGTGTCGAATGACAACACGGTCCATGTCGATTCTCTGAGCAAAACTTCATTTTTTTCAGCACGGACACAACACGGCCGTGTCGTATGCAACACGGTCCGTGTCGATTCTTCAACTCGAACATGCTTGACAGATTTGCTCATAACTTTCTGCTCCAATGTCGGATTTGTGCGATCTTGTTGTCTATGCGTAGATATTGAAAAGAGCTTTCCAATGAGGTAGAGAACACGCAATTTGGACTTGTAGAGTGGAAGTTATTGGACTTGCAAGATCTGACTTTTTAGGCTTCATGTTTTTCTCCGGAACAACTCCAAATGTTCCCGTTTCGTCTGTGATGTTCCGTAGTCCATGTTTTCCACTCCTTTTGCTCTCTTTTATGCATGAATACCTGTTTTGACACCAAAGAAAGCAACCAAGCAATATCGAGACCAAATGTGCTCTAGAATGCCTATAAATATGCAAAACCGAGTAAAATGCACTAGACATCCTATACCAAAATGTCACCAAAATACATGTTATCAAACTCCCCCAGACTTAAACCTTTGCTCGTCCTCGAGCAAATACTCCATGAAAAGTGGTCTGAAAGGAGGGCGAGACAATGACATAACTTAAAATGATAATCGAGAGCGAAACCTCTATCCGACCTAGATCCCCGTGAACAATGATCAAGTCGAGACAATGACATAACTTAAAATGATAATCGAGAGCGAAACCTCTATCCGACCTAGATCCCCGTGAACAATGATCAAGTCTGTCTAGTATGATCTCCCTCTCTAAAGGATAGTCTTTCCTAGCTATTGGATCTATACCGCTACCAAGAACCAATCCAAGAACTTCAATCATCTACCAAGCATGTTTCTCGAACCTATCACGCCATTCTACCTAATCGTATCAAGTATACGCTTTTGGTATTCATTCTTTTTCTTCTTTTTTTTTCATCTAGCTAGATTTTTTTTCTTTTACTAGCATCTCGGGTTCCTAGGATGTTGAAGGTGAAGGGTTCCTAAACAATTTTTTTTTTGGATTTTGTTTATTGGATAACCCGACCCACAACTTAGACCCGAACCATCAAATTGATGCACTCATGTCCTCGAACGATTTTCGTTGACGAGATAATGACAGCGGAGTGTCGAGATGCTCACTATCTTTTTCTGCACATAAAGAAATAAGAATGCATTTGATAATAGATTTTATCGATTTCAGCAAACATGGGTAAGGTTCTTATAGAAACTTTTCTACTTGGCTAGACAACATCGGTCCCATGGGTTCCAACCAACGATTTCTATCCCACAAGCCATTCTAGAAAATCCTAAAGGTCAAGCAATCAATTCAACAAAATATAACCACGTTCAACGGATCACGATGTTTTCAAGACGTTTCTACTCTCTCATGCCATAGATTATCACATCAATACTCAAAACGGTTTTATGCACGTGATCTTATATGTCCTAAATACTATATGTAAATGCATAACCCTAATAACAACAAACTATATGATCCTAAAACATCCTATATGCACATGCAACTAAAAAGTGAAAATAAAAATCAAAAAATTATCCTAAAAAAAGAAAAATGCATGCAACACTACTCTAAATAGATATGGTTTGGCGTTAGATTGCTCCACACCCTTCAGTGGTATGGTGTTAAGGTACTCCCCGGCAACGGCGCCAAAAACTTGATAACGCAAATCTAGGTATAGAAATAATGCTCAAGGGATAAAAACCTAGATACAGCGAATACCGCAAGGATACGGATCAACTGTAGTACCAGGGTCGAACACAGGGAATAGTTAACTCTAGGAACAAGACTCGACCAAGAATTAGATCAGGAAATAACAGATGAAATATGTGAGTAGCAAAAATAAATCTATAAACGAACTAAGTAAATTCAGATAACTAAACCACCGTAGCTTCGGGATAACCTTAACGCGCAGGGATTGTTTCTAAGGATGGAGAATCTACGAATATCGAACTCTAATCGGGGATCTCAAGTTCTAATATCAGATTTGGCTCTCTCAAGTCCTAAATCCACTATCCAATAATTTAACCTATCGATCTCTCAACCTAATAGATTAAAATATCAAATGCATTAACGATCACTATCACAGTTCCTAAACCGATTAACCTATCTCTCAATAGTCTTAATCAATTCATTCAATGAATTCATTCCGAATCAAATCTCAACTCTCGTTGCAAATAAGAATCTAAAATCAATCAATCAACTGGCCAAGAAGATCAAAAGCAATAAACTCAATTCAATTAAACCGAAGAGTATCGATAACGTAGTCTCGGAAAATAAAAACCAAACAAATCCCTACAAGGTTAAATCCCTAGCTACAGTGAAACGACTACTCACTACCCATAACAACAAACGAGTTCAAATCAATAAGAAGAAACATAGAAACAGATAAAGAAGAAACTCGCAGCGATCTCTCGACGACGATTCTTCAATCTCTGCTCCCGGGAAACTCCGTCTTGATTCTCTCTCAAGTTCTCTGGCTTCTGCTGTGATCTCTCGATGATTTTCTGAAGCCTAAGACGTCTCCTATTTATTTGCTTGGCAGCTGGACTTCTTCCTTTGCTGAAAACGGAAGTTCAGATGCAAAATAGGAAGTTTTCCCGTAATGCAATACGGCCGTGTCGAATGCAACACGGTCCGTGTCAATTCTCTGTTAAAAATCTGCACTTTAGACTTGGGCTGAACACGGCCAAGTTTGAATCAACACGGCCGTGTCGAATGACAACACGGTCCATGTCAATTCTCTGAGCAAAACTTCATTTTTTTCAGCACGGACACAACACGGCCGTGTCGAATGCAACACGGTCCGTGTCGATTCTTCAACTCGAACATGCTTGACAGATTTGCTCATAACTTTCTGCTCCAATGTCGGATTTGTGCGATCTTTTGTCTATGCGTAGATATTGAAAAGAGCTTTCCAATGAGGTAGAGAACACACAATTTGGACTTGTAGAGTGGAAGTTATTGGACTTGCAAGATTTGACTTTTTAGGCTTCGTGTTTTTCCCAGGAACAACTCCAAATGTTCCCGTTTCGTCTGTGATGTTCCGTAGTCCATGTTTCCCACTCCTTTTGCTCTCTTTTATGCATGAATACCTGTTTTGACACCAAAGAAAGCAACCAAGCAATATCGAGACCAAATGTGCTCTAGAATGCCTATAAATATGCAAAACCGAGTAAAATGCACTAGATATCCTATACCAAAATGTCACCAAAATACATGTTATCATAGATCCCAATCTGGCGGTTGAATGATGGGAGCAGATGTCAGGGCTGTCTTCAAGGTCTGGAATTCAACGTCGCAGTCAGCTATATAATCGAATGTAGCTTCCTTGCAGAGAAGGTCAATGAGGGGTTTGGAGATCTTTGAGAAGTCCTTAATGAATCGCCGGTAGAAACCCGCATGGCCATATAATCGAATGTAGCTTCCTTGCAGAGAAGGTCAATGAGGGGTTTGGAGATCTTTGAGAAGTCCTTAATGAATCGCCGGTAGAAACCCGCATGGCCGAGGAAACTGCGGATGCTTTTGACATTGCAAGGTGGAGGCAGTTTCTCGATTACTTCGATTTTGGCTCTGTCGACTTCGATTCCTCTTTCTGAAATTTTGTGTCCCAGAACGATGCCCTCACGAACCATAAAGTGGCATTCCTCCCAGTTGAGCCCCAAGTTAGCCTGTGAGCACATGTCTAAGACTCGAGAAAGGTTCATCAGACACACATCAAAGGAGGGCCCATGGACAGAGAAATCATCCATGAACACCTCCATAATGTCCTCGATGACATCCGAGAAGATAGCCATCATGCAACGCTGAAAAGTGCCAGGGGCGTTACAAAGTCCAAAAGGCATACGTCGATAAGCAAATGTACCATATGGGCAGGTAAACGTAGTCTTTTCCTGATCAGAGGGATGTATAGGGATCTGAAAGAAACCTGAGTACCCATCGAGGAAGCAGAAGTATGAATGTAGAGCAAGTCGCTCGAGCATCTGATCGATGAATGGTAGTGGAAAATGATCCTTCCTTGTATTGGCATTAAGTTTTCTGTAATCAATGCACATACGCCATCCTGTGACAGTCCTTGTCGGTATTAATTCGTTTCGATCGTTTTTAATGACTGTCATCCCGCCTTTCTTTGGTACCACCTGCACAGGACTAACCCAAGAGGTATCGAAGATAGAAAAGATGATACCTGCGTCTAGAAGCTTCATAACTTCTTTCTTGACGACCTCTTGAAGCTTTGGGTTGAGGCGACGTTGATGTTCAATGGAAGTTTTCGTCTCATCTTCAAGATGAATCCGATGCATACACAAAGATGGACTGATGCCTTTGATATCACCGATCGTGTATCCTATCACTTTTCTATATTTGCGCAGAGTTGCTAGCAAGAGATCGACTTGGGAGGAATCCAAGTCAGCGTTAATAATAACCGGTTATGTGGATTGGGGACCAAGGTATTCATACTGGAGTCCTTTCGGAAGAGGTTTCAATTCAAGATCCGGTGCACAGTCTGAATTCCAATCATCGGACCTGGGAGAGGTTAGGACTCTAAAGATAGAGCCAGTCAAGGGATCGAAAGACATACCGGGGTCGGTGGAGGCTAGAGGGTTGGTGTGCATGGAAGTTGGACTAGGTAGGGTATCTGAGGTGTGACACGATCGGGTGATGTCTGGAGACGCGATCTGTGGTGTTGAGCAGGGAGAGCGACACGATCGTGTATCGCAACAGACACGATCGGGTGAGATTGCTGAAATTTGTCAGGTGTTGAAGCACCGATGACACGATCGTGTTGACTGAGAGACGCGATCGGGTTGTTTTTCGGAACTATCCGAGGAGTTGACACGCCAATGACACGATCGTGTCTAATTCGAGATTTCCTAGAAGCTCATCATGCTCTAAAATGTGTCCGTAGATCCACATCTGGTCTATAGCGGCGTAGATGCTATCCTGCGAAAGAAGATTTAGTGCTAAAGGATCATCACGATGAAATTGGTGTATTACCTTTTCGGCTAGAGGTCCCAGGATATCAATGAAACAAGCAGATTCTGTAGATGACGGTTGCTTGAGGGTTTTGTCTAGAGTGAATTCCACCGTCTCGTCACCAATTTTCATGGTAAGTCGACCTGCTCGAACGTGGATAACAGCATCGGCGGTTATCCACGTTCGAGCAGGTCTACCTAAAATGATGGGTACTTTAGAATCTTCGTCCATGTCCAGAACCATGAAGTCAACCGGAATGTAGAAATTCCCGACTTTCAAAGGGACGTCTTCAAGAATTCCAGCAGGGTACTTAACAGAACGATCAGCCAACTGGAGATCCATTCGAGTGGGTTTTAGTTCACCCACGTTCAACTTCTTAAAGATGGAGAGTGGAAGAAGACTGACGCTGGAACCTAAATCACACAAAGCACTATCGATGTAGACGTTACCTAGCGTACAAGGGATTGAAAAACTACCTGGGTCGGAGCGCTTGGGTGGTAACTCGTGTTGTATCAACGCACTACACTCTACAGTGAGAGCTACAGTCTCTTTCTCGACGACTCTTTTCTTGGTCAGGATGTCCTTCAAAAACTTGGTATACGAGGGAATCTGTAAAATAGCTTCAGTAAAGGGCATGGTTACCTCGAGTTTCTTTAGCATCTCAGCGAATTTAGCAAATTGGCTGTCTTCGTTATGCTTCCTCAGGCGAGACGGAAACGGTACCGGCGGAGGCTTAGGAGGAGGGGGTACGTATGCCGGTTCGGGTATGTCTTCTGGACTAGCATGATCATTCAAAACCTCTCTCTGCTCGACCATTGTGGATGGTTGAGTGTCTACCTGTTTACCATTTCACAAAGTGATGGCATTAATATGTTCGCGAGGATTGGTTTCAAGTTTACCTGGAAGGGTGTCAGACGGTCTTTGAGAGTCTACTGCCAACTGGGCAATCTGATTGTCTACGAGCTTAAAATGGGCATCGATGCTCGCGAATTGAGTGCGGAATTCATGTGTCGTCTTTGCCTCTTCCTGCATGAGTTGTTGAATAAGAGCATATGTATCCTGAGAAAGGTCACGATTATCAGAAGGTGCAGGATTGTTGAAGGTCTGCCCCGGAGCTCTGTAGTTGGAGTTCTGATTTGGACCCCTGGATTGAAAAGCAAAACCGGGTGGGATCCTCTGATTCGGATTATGGGATGCCCTCGGATTATTTGGTGCAGGATTCTCGACGTTGTTGGACTTGTAAGAGAGATTAGGATGATTCCGCCACCCTGGATTATATGAGTTCGTGTAGGTGTTGTTGTTCACGTAGTTGAGGTCTTCGGTTCTCTCTTTCACTGCATACATGCTGAGATCATCTTGGGGGAGTGTATGGGCATCTGTGGTCGAAATCAAGCTGGCATTCGCAAATTTAGCATTAAGTGCTGCCAACTGATCGATCACAATCTTCAAACTGGGATCACCTTCTCTTTTTGGTATATCGCGAGAATATTCACTCGGAATGTCTTCCTCTTGAGCCATCATTTCAATGTGCTGTTCCAATTCCGTGAATGACTTATTTTGGATGCTGCCACCGCAAGAGGCGCGAATCAAAGTCTTAGTATCGTTGCGGAGCCCTCAGAAGAAAGTGTTGATCAGATAATTCTTGTCAATTCCATGATGAGGGCATGATTTCTGATATCCTTTGTATCGCTTCCAAGCATCGTGTAAACTCTCCCTTTGATCTTGCTTAAATGAATATATACCGGAAAGGGCTGCTTGAGTGCGATGGGCTAGAAAGAATTTGGACATGAACTGAATTTCTAATTGATCCCAAGTGTGGATGGAATCAGGTGTTAAATCGTATAGCCATTCCAGTGCAACATCCATGAGAGTCCAGGGGAAAGCGAGTAGACGGAGGTCATCGTCTGTTACCCTGGCTTCTCTTTTGATCGAGTGGCACATCATCTTGAAACGCGTGAGATGTGCGTTTGGGTCTTCGTTTGGCCTACCCCGGAAGGAATTATTGCTGAGCATCTGAATGGTAGCTGGGTTGAGCTCAAAACGAGTCATATCGATGGTCGGTAGTCGTATACCGGCCATAAGTTCGGTGTGCTTCGGCGTGTTGTCTGAGCAAAAGTCGAGTCAGCATTGCCCTGACGTCATCGGGAAGAGCGAGATCTCGATTGTTCTCCATTTATCTTTGTTGACGTCGGATGTGTCTAACGGTCCTTTCGAGCTCACGATCAAGAGGTATCAGGTCTGACGTCCCAACACTCCTGGTCATGCACTAGAAAAACCTGTGCACCAAACGAAAAACGAGAACAAACGAGGAAAACATGAGAAATCACCTAAGAAAAAGAGAAATAAAACAAGATCCGAACTAGATATGATCTAATCCTATTGCCTAAATTGTCCCCGGCAACGGCGCCAAAAACTTGATGTCGTAAATCTAGGTGCAGAAATATGATCAAGTAATAATATTCCTAGACTCAACAATTAACCGCAAGTGTACGGATCGTGCGTAGTAGCTAGGGTCGAACACAGGGACAAGTTGACAACTAAATTAAATCTCAATCCAAATCTAGATCCAGAGGAGATAATATGAGAGTGAGAAGCGTAGCAAAGCAAACGATAAAACGATTCAAAGACTATGAATGATGAATACTGCAGGCTTCGGGATTGCTTTACATGTAAGGATCTTTCAAAGGATGCAAACTTAGTGGTTTATTTATCCAATTCAGGGAATTCAAGCTCTAAGGTAGAGTTTAACTCTTCCAAGTCTAATCTCACTATCCAGGTTTAATCCTACTAATCTCCCGATTCAATAGTCTAAAACTCTGGATGTATGAACGAACGCTATCATAGTTCCTAGGCAAATACCCATCTCTCGATGTGATACCTGTTCTATTTATTGAATTAGTTCCAGGTTAGAATCTCATACGTCTATGTGAATTAAAACCCTAAGATCATTCAATCAAGCGACCAACAAGATCAAACGCATTAAGATCAACTCAATAAACTGAATAGAATAATAAATCCACAAAGTCTGGAATTAAAAACCAAAGATCCCTACATAGCAAATCCCTAACCTACAGCAAAGGAACTACTCGCTAAACATCGAGTTGACAGGGTTCATATCAATACAACAAGACATTGTAAAATAGGATAAGGAAGAAACTCTTAGTCAATTTCTCGGCTTCGTGATCTCCGTCTTCTACTCCAATCTCTTGCTTCTTGGTAATCTCCCCCTTTTGGTGTGCTCTAGGTCTGTTTTCTGTGAAAAGTCTGAATGAATCCCTCTCTGGAGGCTTGACCTAGTTAAGTCTTTCTTTCCTGGTAAGATTTGGAAATATTCCCGAAGAATCCCGTAAGTGACACGATCGTGTGAGTTGGGGGAGACACGATCGTGTGAGATTGTAATTCCAGAGTCAGGTTTTCGCGACTTGACCCGATCGTGTGTGTGCAGGAGACACGATCGGGTGAACCTTCGATGTGATTCTTGTCCTGGCGAAATGACCCGATCGTGTGTCGGGATGTGACACGATCGGGTGAACTCTTGATCTGATGGTGGTTTTCTGGATGATGAGACACGATCGTGTGAGTACAAATAACACGATCGTGTGTAGTGTCATAGCTCGTTCTTTTCCAGGGTTTTTGTCCTTTATTTCGCTCCTATTGCTTGTACCTGCAATTATATATTAACTAAGCGAGAATCAAGGCTAAACACGCAATTGAACATTCCTAATGATGTAAAACTGGATAAATACGTCAGATGAATACTCGACCCACAACTTAGACTCGAGTCAAAGTGCACTCATATCCTCGAATGATTTTCATTAACGAGATAGTGACAGAGGAGTGTCGGGATGTGGTCGTGCACAGTATTTGTAACGTCAGTGAACAACCATAAGAACCTTGGAAGTGGTTTCTTGCAAAACTTATGCGCCTGTTTCAGGAGATATCTATCTCTGGAATGTTCTAGCTACAAACACATCCCACATGCTTTCAAGTCTATTTTGAATGAGAACTGCCATTTCGAATATAAACCGACAATTCATCCCTCACTCAAGAATAAGTCGAGAGTAGTTCGCATAGGTGGTCAAAACTGATTGATTTTATTGGGTCCTATCTATCCTCATATCTTAGCTATCAACTCAAAGTGGTCTATGCGGGTGTTCCCTATGAGTGAAACTAACAATGCAGTGTACATGGATGTGTAGTAGAGATACCCCCAAACTTGAACAAAACACCGTCCACGGTGTGCAATTATAGCAGGAGGGATGAAGGAGTGAGAAAATTCGGATACTTAGCTGCGTAAGGTATAGAGGAATGGGAGGCGATTCTTGCGACGCTCAGGTTGGAAGGGCAATAAGTGTGCGATGGTTTTCATTCAACGAACTCTCCGCAGTGAAACTTCAAAATTGACAAGAGAGAAAACCAAAACAAAGTGGAAACAAGGAACGGTGACCACATTCCAACATACGATAGAAGCAGCAGTATAGAAACATCCAAGTACATACCGAAAAGGGTTCAAAATATGACATAAAAGGAACAAAGTAGGAACGCGAGAATAAAAAAGGGCGGAAAAGTCACTCTCGACGGTCGCCGGTGGTGTCCATGTCCTCTGGTGGAGGTGGCTGAGCAGAATAGTGCATGCCTGGATAGGGATAGCCAGGTGGCAGTGCGACGTGCTGGAGGCCGGCAGGGGTGAAGTGGAGGTCCTGGAGACCTTGGAGGACCTGCATCTGATAATAGTCCATAGGCGGCGCTGGTCCATGTATGTTGTCAAAGATGCTACTTGCTCCCCAATCTGGTTCTGACGGTCGGTGAGGGAGTGTAGCTGGGTGCCAAGGGTGGTTTGAGCGGTGGTGATGTCGTATTGTGCGCGTGCGAGGGATCGGTGACGTTGTTCCAGCAACTCGAAATAACCGTCCTCGCAGAGTTGCTCTAGAGTCCGTATTTCAGCATCGTCGTCGAGAGTGGGACTCTGATAGGGGCGCTGTCGGGAGGAGCTGGGGGTATCACGAGGTGGAGCTCGGCGGGAGGGTTGATCGGTGGCGGGGACGACGGTACGGAGGCCCTCCAGGGTTAGGGGTGGAATTTTGTCGAGGTGAGTGATATAGAGTGTTTTATCGTACCTGTTGGACCAGAAGACATCACCGTAGTCGTCAATCATCAGCATGCTCTTGTTCATGAGTACGATCCGGTCGAGGGTAGTGCAGCCGGGTGATGCGCACGCACCGAGTCTTATATTTAATACCCGATTCGTACCACTATCCGCAAGTATACGGTAGTTGTAGTACCGGGGTCGAACACGAGGACTAGGATGTATTAGTCTATCTCTAAGCTAGATTAGGTGGTCAAGTAAAAATGTGGTTTGTGGTAAGGGTCGGAATACAAGAAAGCAAGTAAAATTAACGGTTTGTAAAACGATGGTTTGAGGCGTTGTAGGTTCGGGATCCCTCAAGAATCGCATGGATGGTTAATGATGCTACAATGTCTATGGGTTATCCTCCATATGGGGGTTTCAAGCACTTCTTCTAGACTTTGTCTCTCCCGAGCTTAAACTCACTACCTAGATGATCGATTCACCCATCTCCCAATGATCTAAATGATCTCTAGATGCATTAGTGTACCCTATCATGAACCCTAAGCAAGTTAAGCCATCTCCCAATGTGAATAACTCACTCATTTGACATTTGCTTCCAAACATCATTCCCATATCCCTATGATCAATGTGTTCTACAATCATATCAATTAGGGTTTCAACCAAATCAATAGCATTAAGCACAAAACATCAAACCCATGGAAGAAACTCAAAGACATCATAGATTAAGCATAGGTATCCATACAAAAGTGGGGATCCCTCACCCACAACAAAATCACTACTCCATAACTAGGGTTT